TTTTCAAATTCGGTATTGATCATTCTTTGAGAAATGCGCCATTCATTCGAATTCCTCACAAGCATTGGTAGTGATAGTGTTTGAATATTTGGCCTATACGAAAGGTGTCGGTGGCCTATCGGTGAATCAAGTCAACGTTGTTATCCTCTCAGAAAAATCTGGACCAATCTGTTGTTTTTGAAAGAGAAGTAGGATTGATTAGACTGACCCCTAGCATCGAACCCATAAACCACAATTGCACCAAAAACCACCTATAATCACTGTGCCACACGTGCCCGACAACTGCACTGTATAATGGGTAATACGGTATGAACACCTTGTGTTGGCTACACTTTTTCTATGTTGACAATAACCGGATAAGTTTCCGAAGTAGGCAAAACTGTTATTAAGTAAATGTAGACATCAACGGCTTCGTATCCGTTGAACGTAAATGCAAGAGCTTCACCATCATTAATAAGGTTAATAAAAAATCCGAGCTATCCACCCAAAAAAGGAAAATCAGGACCTGAGAACTTCATACAGTGCTTTCAGTTTGCCGACGAAGAAAACACGCTAGAGTCTTCCATTATCTCATACTCTAAGTACATCCTTATGTGCATGATGGTTATTGTATTCGTCTATGCCTACGGTAACGATTACGGTGGTTCTATGGCTAATTAATGCTCAATGTGCTCTGTTTAGGTGTGAAGGAGTTTGAGATCGATGTTACTAGTGTGTTGGGTCAATGGTCTGGATGGCTGTCCTTTCTGAATATCAGCGAATTCTTCACAGCGCATCAATATTTGCTCGTCACCTTAGCTGTGAGAATCCAATATCAGTTGAAGAACGTTGGGCCAATTCTTAAGAACTTCAAGGGCGTTTTAGAAAAAAGCAGCAGAGTAACAACTGTGGTAGTTGTGTGCCTAATGATAAGGCTTTCATAATCTTGCGTTTTAACTAAATCCGCAGGTGATCAATTACTATCATCTGCATTGCGATGTTGAGCTCTCGTTACTGAGACAACAAATGTCATTGCTAATGGTTTGATTTCCAACCGTTTCAATTTCATTAGGCTTCGACTGTTTTGTCTCAGGTATTCCAAATAATTGAATGCAATCGATTAGTTGGATGGCTTCAGTTTCGGTCTCTCTATGATAGGGTATGCCTTTGTCAATTATTCAGGAGACACTCCATGAACAATCCCTTTTTGCTTGCTTTTCATTTGAAACCTATACATTGCTAAATAAATGACTGAAAAGCAACATACAAGCAAATTATTAACCAGATACGTTAACCATGAATGAAAAGATAAAAGTGAGGATCAGTTAAAACCAAGCAGTTCAATCGTTCTTGCTGCAGCAGAAATGATCTTCACCATAGACATCAATTGATTTCTGCACGAAGTCGTTCAGTACAAACCAAAATCGCTACTTAAGGAACAGTTGTCGACTCCAGTCGTTTCACAAGGATTTCTCCTCTCTATATGCTACCTTTTACCGTACTTCATTCCGTTAGTATACCTTTTTTGGATATCCAAGACCAGAAAAGTGGTTAGTTACGTCTGACATTATTTCCGCTGTAGCTACTACAAAAATGCGCCTGTAATTTCCAAGACCGGGTTTTTTTAACCCTTGCATTAATCAAATGACTCTCGATACTCTTGCTGAGCCAACATGAAGTGTTACTTTATTCTTTATTCCGGTAAAGCCGACGTTTCGGGATTATCTCTATGTTTAGAGCCTGGAAAGGGTATACTGATATGTGTTCAAATTGTTCAGCTTACACGACGTTGCTATATAACCTTTATTCGGCTGACGCTTCAACGTCTTCGCCTTCGCTAGAACCGACGATCCCAGTCGATGGACTACAGCTGTCCGTCTTCTCGATGTGGCGTCTTCATTTCCGTATCGAGTCGAATCTTCCTCAGTGGAGCATCGCTTGAAGGAGGCATACTCACCCAGTGATGCACTTTTATGCAAGGCGATGGTTGTTGATAATAGTGATTGCCCGGTGATAACGACTTGCTTTCCCTGAATGATCCACCTTGCAGAAATCGGCATAATTATCAGCTATTATAGGTATATTGATAGGTCGAAGATATCTGAAGAAGTTGAAGCTCAGTTTTCAGAATCGACTCTCTATTAATCTCGGCATTGGATTATAAATCTGTGGTTTTCTTTTTCAGCAATCGCAAGGTTGTTATGCAGCACGCGTTTACTTCCTTACAAAAAACACATACGACAGAACAAAAGTTGTAAGAGCCTGGAAGGATATACTGATAGGCAATTTACTACGTCAAAGTCTTCAATAAGACAAACAAAATGACGAAAAGTTAAATGGGGATCACATGATCAACAGTTCCTCTCAAAACCCACCGCTTCTCGCGTGCCTTCCGCTGAGGAAGAGCAGCTGATTAGAGTCGCACATGGTCAACGAATGCACCACCCCATATCAAATTCTATGAAAATGTGTGGGACGAGAGCACGTGTGATTCCTGGGCATTCCTCCCTGCTGCTCGTTCTAGGGTTCTTCGTATTTATCCAAAAAGCCACATGAAGCTCGCGGGCTTGTGTTTTGGCATCCTGTGCTAGGATAGTGAGTTTTATGTCGAAATTGTCTCCGCTATGCCTTTATATCCTATGTCCCTAGTGGCGTATCTTCGTTGCTTTTCGTTTGCCATCTAGGTGTTTTTTTATACGGATACATAATGGTCTTCCCGTTTTGCCAATGTATTCTTCACCACAAGTATTACAAGAGATTAGGTACGTCGCACCTGAACTCCTGCAGCTACCGTCTCTGCCATAAGGGCAAATTACGCAGTTTTTTGTTTCGCATAGACGGACACATAGGCGGTTATGAACTAACTGACGACGAGGAGTATCCAGTGGTATTTCTACTGCCGCAACAGTAATAAAGGACAGCATAAACAAGATTTTTTTGGGCCAATTCTTTTGTTTCGGGGCATCCGTGTCCTTGTAAACTTATTTCGTCGTGTTACCATTTCGTAGCCATTGGAGATAGCTATTTGCCGAGCCAAACCACGCGATTCCTCTTTTAGTTCCCTCTTCGTGCACATAGAGGTGGCCGTTGGAAACATGTTTCTCACAATCGCTATCTTTGTATGTGAAGGGTGGGAAGAGAGGAAGCGACGAAGGATGTCCATGTTACTTGGCTTTCGGTACCACTTCGTCATGTGACTGCTACCTGATAAGTTAGTTTTAAAGTTGAGAAATAGAAGCCAATTTCCTTTTCGGTTTCTCCCGGTGAATGTAATGTGTTCATTCAATATTTCAAAGCGTTTGTTCATTTCCTGCTGAGTAGAGGATATAGATTTCCTGGCTCCGAAGAAGGCGATAGTGCCGAAACGTCAGTTTCACCGGAATAAAGAATAAATTAACACCTCGTGTTTGCGGCTGTAATGTTAGGACAAATGTGTGTAAGATTTCAACCGCGTTTCGTAAGCATTAATCCAATGTGCCGAATTCGCTCTCGAAAATCGGTTCCATTCTGACCGTACTCGTGAAATGTTCCAAGACGACGAGGATATATTACAACGGTTCGCCTTCTAGCACAATTTTCAACACTACGAAGAGATCACAATGTTTAACGTTTTGTTTTCTGCCTTCTATAATTTTAATGGCAGGTTACTAAGTAAACGAAATACAACCACAACGTTGCTGAGATATTTGCAAAACTCTGGACCGCAGGTGTCTATGGTGGGGAACGAACGCGCTATTGTCCTTTCCGGGGAGTAACGCGTTCACCACCACACCATGCG